TGACATTCGAGCGAAGCGTCTGGCCCACTGAAATTGTTTCCGATTCAAGAATGTTTCTGGGCTCACCATCTTTGCGAGCAGAAGAACTTTGTTGTTCATGATCCAGTCATTCTACGTGTCATTTTTTTTTAACCTTTCATGTTTGCGAATGTATCTTTAGTAGGGTACCCAGGTCTCCCATGCATAAAGAAGAGTCAAGATTACAGCAACTCGTTTGATCATGAGCTGGGTGGTTTGTGTTATCCCAGGATTGCTGCAGTCTCTTTTTAGTAGATTCCGCATGCTGCGGGAAAAGCTTTGATACGGTAATCGGTGTCTTTTTGGCGGAGGCATTTGATAGTAATTACACATCTAAGGTATGGAAATTGCTCACCATTCTTCGAGACCAGTCCATTGATGGTGGTTTTGGCTGCAGGTGTTTTTTTGCCACGTTGATGTAATCTCGAGAGAAGTTCTCCGCTGTGTTCTGGAGGTCTTCGAGTTCATGTGCCAGGGTGTAGTTATCATCTGCGTATTGGATCTCTGTGACACGTGCATATGTTGTTTGAGTTCGGGAGCGGAGGCGAGTAATGTCAAAGATTTCACCAAGTAGATAGAGAAGAGGGTAGATACAAGTACGTTCCCTTGTTTCAAGCACCCTATGATGGGGGAAAGGGTTCGAAGGTCGATTTAATTTTGGACACGACTCATCATTCCTTCGTGTAAAGCTCAGATGAACACCGTGAATTTCACAGGTCATCCATGGCGTCATAGAACTTGTTTTTAAACACCGTCAAACACTTTTCAAAATCAGAAAATCATTCCCAGGGAGTTTCGCAGTTCTCTGCTTTAACCTGGATTTGTATTACGGAGAATATTATATCGATGGCCACTCAGTTAACTTGAAAACCACATTGACATTCAGTGAGGATTTACTCTGTCAATGTCAGGCGATTGAGAAGGATGCTGTCGAGAATCTTCCCTGTGATGCACAAGAGATTCACAGTATTTTCCACAAACACGTCTGTCTCTTTTCTTGAATATAGTGACGATATTCACTGCCTTCAGATCAGATGAAACCTCTTTTTACCAGAATCCACAGGCTGCTCCCATTAACCCGAACTCGTTGCCGTAGGACTTGATGGAAGAGAAATGCTTGACTGTGAATTTCTTAGGTGGTCCATGGGTTGGGAACATTTCATCTGACGCCATCCCCTCTGCCATACCTGGTCTTTAATGACAGCATGCATCAAGCTTCAAACTTATTCCCGTACGTAGAATGTAACCTTGGTTGCCAACCAGTGATGCGTCAGAAGGTGCTTAGTTCGGTCTCTTCGCTGTATCTAAACCGCCATGGATAGCCCTACCAGGAGACAGATCTCTCGATGGAGTTACATTCAAATTCATCGAGACATACAGGCTCCTCAACTACGACACGGTGACGATCTCCGGTGGAGAACCTAATGACCATGGATTGATCCGATTGATCTGGTTGTTCTGTCAGTAAATACCGAATTTTGCCATATAGTGAAATGGATAATGTTAGCGTTACTACTATAAGTAGTCAGAGTACCATTAATTTGAGACACGTTCCAGGTATTTTGGAAAAAAAAAGGATTCTTATTATTGTAGATTTGTAGTATACTTATGAGACTATAAAAGGGCTTATGGTTGAGCATCATAGCGTTAACGTACCAACCATGATATCCATGTTTGCATGATGGATTTATTCAAATCCATAATCCGTTTTATGAGGGAAAATGAGTAGATGAAACTGTTCGAATTCTGTAAGTTTTTGCGCTCGTACAAAACCAAAAGTTATGATGACTGTACTGGCTTTTTTCATTTACAGACCATTTTGGATTATTCATTTTTTCCCAAGAACTGTAAGGTCTATTCAGTATAAATGCAGTATAAACCAGTGTTAACAGTGTGAGTGTTAAAGAACCATGAATTTGCTTGAAAAGACAATTGTAACGAGGATTATATACCACCCTAATAGACAGATTTAATCAGGAATGGATATACAAGCATTGAATTATCATTATTTAATTATCGAATTATATACTATAGATATGAACTTTCTTCTGTTTTTATCTCTAATAACTTAGTCATTTTTTTTATTCGTGAATGTTTTTCATTTCACTTTTATATATCTCCAACTTATCAGAATTGGTGAGTAGAAGGTTTTTTAAAGTAACAAGGGATGGGAGATTCTTCTTGGGGTGGTTTCTCCTGTTTTTTTTTCTGTTTTACAACAGAACATTTATCAATACAAACTAGATATTTGCTCTCTGTCTTATAAATTTCTCCGGGTTCCAATACCAAAACATATATTTAAAACCCACCAAAGAATATAAGATTCCTTGTTTAAAACTATTTTCTTCATCGAGGAAGAAGAGAAATATATGCGTTTAACTTGCTTCTACATTCATATTTTACACGTTCTTGAGTCAATCCCAAGGTTTAAAAATCACGTACTATTGCTAAATGCACAGTTAATGAAAAGCTTTTAACATTATTCTAACATCATGATGAATAAATTTCTTCGAATTTTTACATCAAATTTAATCAAAGTTGGTGCTGGATGAATGTGTATCACAAACAGGAACATAAACGGAATGCCTCCACTCTGTTGGTTGTACTTTGTGCTGAGTATTTGGCAGCACCTGCTACCTATATTAAATATCTCTCCTTGAAAAGAAATGAAAGACACGTTGTCTCTGAATTCAGCCTCGTTTATCAAAATCCACGTATCGCGTTCGACTATTTTACTTTGATACAACAATTATACTCTAAAATCAAATGCTGAAAGTAAATTTGTTGAGTATAATTTATCTCTCTGTAAATATATTCTGATTTTCTGTCATGACCATTCGCCTAAACCTAAAATATTTCACATATATAATGTATATTCTTGTACGACAAAACAATGATTTGTATATTTTTCCGCATATCTTGCCTAAAGTATTTGCATATATTTCAATATATTTTGAATCTATATGTATTTTTGTATATTTCATTACACAAGCAAATCTTCAAAATTTTTACAGCTTTTTAATTCTGCTTGTTGTTATAAGAAAATGAAAGAAGGAAGATCTATATCAGCACGCTTTTAAAAATATTTCTATATTAGCTTGATAAGATATACATCAATTTCTTGCATCCATTCTGCTTGACAACAAGTGAGAAAAAATGTGTTTATATGTTAAAGTTGTTTGATTATTCGCAAAAATATCTACGAATTATCGAATTATAAATCATTGCTATACAATCAGCATTTAAATTTTTTATTAAATGATGATTTGAAAATACATTACTCTAAATATTTAGTTAACATCGAATAGATTTACAAGTCGAGAATACAGTTCTGTTCAAGTCTCTCGTAAAATATATATGAAAAGTTATTTTGAAAATACAACGAGACAGAATTACTGGTGTAACGTATACGAAAGATAAGTTATTTATAGATTGTTCTAGAGAAGACTATGTACATATCTACACCTTGAACAAATATAGTGATATCAATACTAGAAAAAGCCAAAATATAAAATTACCTGTGCAAGTCTCGTTGAGAAATCATTGCAATACGAACATCCTAAAATATAATCTGATAAAACATTGCTCTAAAACATTAGATTAAATCCTTCCTAAAAATAAGTTGAACGACATTTCTATATAAATATCAGTGAAAATATCATTTAAAAGATAAAAGAAAGACATTGCTATACAAAAAACAGTCTCCTAAAATATAATTTAAAAACCTTGTTATAAAACATTAGTGCGAATATCCCCTTAAATCATTTAAAACATTAGTGTTAATATGTAATAAAATGAATTGAAAATATACTACGAGAGGAAAAATATTACAATACCACGTAAAATAAGTTGAAATATATAAGTATTGGAGAAACTATCTACTTAACGATAATTTGAACGACATTGCTGTACAGAAGTGTCAATATCTCCTAACCTTATTTGACAAGATATTGATATAATAACATTAAAATGAATATCTCCTAAAAGATAATTTGAAAATACATTACTATACCAAAATCTAGATCAATATTTTTTTTAAATCATTTGAAAAGAAACTACCATACAAACATAAATATATTTCGTAAAAGTTCAGTTGAAATTCATTAGTACATAAATATTATGGCAAATATCTCCTAAAAGATAGATAGAAATGCATTGCTGTACAAACATTACTTTTAATATATCCTAAAAGACATTTTATACAGTGGTTAGTTTCATATATTCTAAATTGAAAAAAAATGCTATAGAATCTTTAGTTACAATTATCATTTAAAATAAATCTCTTAAAATAAATTGAAAAATCATTGTCCACCCCAAGATTAGTGAAAATATCTGCTAAAAATAAATTGACAAAATATTGCTATACTAACATTAAAACAAATCTCACATAAAAGATAATTTGAAATGAAATTGCTACACAACTATTAGTGAGAATATTACCTAAACAATATGTTGAAACCTATTGTCATGCTGAGATTAACATACATACAGCCAAAAGAGATAAGTAAAAACTTTGGAGCTAATATCTAGTAAAAAGATAATTTGAAACCACCATCCTTGTAAATACCTGTATAAAGGTATTAACTTAAATATCTGGAAATATGCAGCATCTCAAATCTAGTTTGGTAATAATTTTTATTCTTCATCCGCACCATCCTTAGAAGGAAAATGACAAAAACCAATCGAAAAGAAAACTTCTTCGCACAAATGTTTTATTTACGGTTAAATTCTTTAGTAAATTATATTCATTAAGAGAAGACTTTTAGCGTTTTCAACATCGTCAGATTGTTATTTTAATGAATATCCAGTATGGCTTTATCAGATTAGTCACTGTAAAATAAATTGTTCTATGTTAATCAGATATTTCCAGATTTAGAAGAATGATCAATTCCGCTGAATTTGTCCTTGCTGTTTTATTTAAATAAATATTTTGGTTCTGAAACAATTTATAACGTTGATACACACATGGATATTATCGCGATTTAACTTGTTGAATATGATAATGCAAAATTAAATAGAAGAGAATTCACAACCGGTACATGCAGAATAGAAAGAAAGACAGAAAGAAACAAAGAAAGACAGAAAGAAGGAAACACAGAAATAAGGAAAGACAAAAGAAAGAAAAGAGAATGAGATAGATAGATAGATTGATAGATAGATAGATAGATAGAAAGAAAGAAAGAAAAAGCGAAAGAGAGAAAAAAAGAAAGAAAACTTATAAGATAGAAAGAGCGAAAGAGAGAAAAAAAGAAAGAAAACTTAAAAGATAGAAAAAAAGAAGGAAAGAAAGAAAGAAAAAAGAATGAGATAGAAATAAAGAAAAAAACATATAAGGAAAGACGAAAGAAAGAAAACAGAATGAGATCGATAGATAGATAGATAGATAGATAGATAGATAGATATATGAAAGAAAGAATGAAAGAAAGAAAGAATGAAAGAAAGAAAGAATGAAAGAAAGAAAGAATGAAAGAAAGAGGAAAGAAATAAAAAGAATGAGAAAGAAAGAAAGAAACAAACAAACAAATAAACAAAAAGGAAATAAATAAAGATGAAAGAAACAGAATGGGATAGTTAGCTGGCTAGCTAGATAGATAGATATCAGGAAATTAGTTGGCATGACAAACTGGAAAAATTTTCAAATGACACTTTCAGTGTAAATGTCGTTAATCGTGATAGGTTCGGTTATGATTTATATTTACGTAATTTAGTTTTGATTAAAGACGGACAATTAAAGCGAAAATGAATGAATAATTTACTAATTTCGCTATCCTTTAAGGTTAGGCATGAATTTTATTTGACTCTTGCACGAGTAGAATGACTGATTCTGCATTTCGTCTTTGACATTTTCATTGGTACTTATATATATTTTGTTTACCTGTTTTCCCTTTCTAATCAGCTTCACCATAGGTAAGTCACGTTCTTCATTTTCAAATCATTCACGGATTTCATGTAGTTCTGTTTATCTGATATCCAGTTCCTTCACACATATTTTTCTTAACTCAGCAAGATGTTATCTCGAAGTTTCTCATATACATATTGTAAGTAGGCTTTGTCAATTCGTATTATTTACTTTTTAATGTCGCATAAGATAACTAAATTGTAATTTTTCTGCATTTTTCTTTCGCGAGGGAATATTCACTTGATAACGACTTTGTATATTCTGTAGGCTATAAAGAAATTTCTAGCCTGACATTTTTACATAGATTCGCAGGAGTTCAACGGGGTCTCACCAAACATATAGGCCATTACTCATAACTTTTTAATTTTTATTCTGCATTATTTTGTATTTGTAATGATATCGACGTGCCGGCTAATGAAAGCCCACGACTTAATATCTTTTTTTATCATTCAGTAAATGATTTCACCCAGTGACAGAGAACGGGACTGGACCCGCCATTTCAAAGGTAACGTTTACATTGTTCTATGCAATATATAAAAAGACACTGCTCATTTACTGACTGGAGTGGGTTTTTAAATAACTGCTTGTAACACAGTTACTTCTTCACGTATGAAACTCCGGCTCAGTGGTCGTTTCTGGTTAAAACATCATCTCTTTTCCCCTAAGAATACTGGCAGGAAATCTACTCTGGAATGATCTGGCGTGCGACACATACTAATATGAGCTTCCAATGAGTATTTTATTTTTCATTTCATACAAATTAGGTAAAATGACTTATGTCTACTGGCCCGTAGCAAGTACAGGTTGCTATATTGGCAAATATTTATTTAATGTGGTCTACATTGCAACGTAATGACTCAAACGACATATGAGTTAGAGCTGAAGAGTAATTTAACTTTTAATTATTTACGTAAATCTGGTTATCATTTCAATAAAGGACTATGTCATAAACATTTGACATGTTCCCCAAACTTACTTAAAGAAATATATGAGGATCTTAATTTTGATCCTGTGCAACAGATACTAATTTATTTAGAATTCAAATGAACTGAAATTGTTTGAGAGAATGATAGTTAATTTATATCAATACATATGTAAATAGGATAATTGTTTAATCGACTCATCAAAAAGATGACATGCCGGAACTAAGTTTGTATAAAATTTTACCGTAGATTTCACTTGTATTTTTTATACTATCTGTTTTGTTGTACATGACGTGTCGCTTCAGGAAATAGGCGATCATGACTCTTTACAGCTTTTTTTTAAATAGTTCTTTTACTGTCGTTTTGTTTTCTCTCCTGGAATTTATTTCACTATTCATTAACTTAAGTTGACTAGGTTGGTTATGCGTTGTTTTCTTTTTATCCCGCTTGCATCAATCTATACTGTGAGTATCAAATATTCCAAGCCCCCTTTCCTCATAATGTGCCGAATACAACTCTGTCTTTCTAATGTTAAGCATGCGTCCTTTTTGTTTCAATTTTCTCTGAAGATTCATCGTTGCTCAAATGTTCGGCCATGGCATTCTCAGTATTCCGTAGAACCACAATTATGTTGCTTCAAGTCTATTCTTTATCACTGCCATATACGATGACCAGAATTACTTAATGCTGCTTTTGTTTTGGTTTTTGTTTTTGGGTTTTTTTAAAATTTTTCTGTCTCTTAATAATTTTGCTTTACTTAACTCTTTCGCCGTCCCAATGAATTTCCTTTACGCATAAAAAAAGAGACTTCAATTTTAATTTATATTCACTCACATTCAAATAACCCCAAAAGCTACGAATATATCTTTCCCCCGGCTATGGGTTCAATAGTAGGACATGTGTCTGGAAAATCCGTATTATTCTCTAAACTATATTAATGCGATATTCATGGGTAAAAATGTCCTACAATCAAAAATAATATTTCATCTTTAAATAACCTCATAAATGACACGTAAAATTAAACAGAGACACAAATAATTCCATAAGTGCATCAGATATAAATTTTCATTTATGCCTGAAATTCTGGGACGAGGAGTTATCATTATTTACAAGCAGTTTATTGTCCTCATCAACTCTGTTATCACTGGTGGAATTTTTCCGACAGCCTGTATTAATAATCACATTGGGTCAATCAAAATGAAGAAAATCGTCCCCCATGTAAACTTTGTAAATATGCTAACATCCGTAATATTTGACCTTCGTATTAAATTTAACAACGCAAGTAAATAAGACGTTTTATTTTCGAATTAAATTTATTTATTTGTTATTTTATATTAATTTATTCTTATTGGATGCTATGTTTTATTCCTTTCTTTATTTTGTTCATTAGTTTTTGAATTCTATTTTGATGGTGACAAAAATTTAAAAACAGCGTAAATTATAACTTCTAATGATGTAAATTAATATTCTTGATCTAAAAATATAATTCTACACTTTTTAAATAAGGAAAAATATCGTAGAGTACTGGAGAGAAAGAACAGACAAGTCTTATTAAAATTGCGCAAAAATTAAGCATCCCGGTTTTTGTGTCTGCAGACATCAGATGGACTCATGGCTAACTGAATAGAAACGAAATACTCATCAGAAATTTCTTACGATTTGTCGCTGTTTGATTTGGTGGAAGAAGTGTTCATCGATCAAGATTATTGTAATAGAAATGAAGAAAAACAAATTAATATAAAAACAAAATGTTAATAAAGAAAATAGTTTATGTAAAAATATGTATCATAACTTAATCATCGAAAACAGAGATCTTAATCTGGAAAAATTTCACTCAGTATGATTTGCAAGAGATACGTGTATTCTAGTTGCAGAGGCCAACATAGAAATCAGCTCCTCGGCTTCAGCAAGAACAAGTGGAAGCAATATCATCTACAATTTTATTCCAAAAATTGATCATTTTATCAGCAATATGCTTAAGTCGTTCTTTTTATTGGTGACATTGTTCCAATCACATGTGTGAGATATATCTTCGAATGTTCTCAACTATCTTGACATTTCGTTCAGTGACTTCATGTCTCTGTACGTGGAAGCCTGATCACAGTGCTGCATGACTTTTAGATCTCTCTGTAAAACAAAGCAAACACCTAAATATCGGGCGAGGAAAATATGCAAAGCAGATTGATGAGGTTTGATAGCATGGCATGGGACAGAGAACATTCTTCATGCCTCGATCTGTTCAAATGCTTTAACATGTGTCTAGTAAGGGATGTGCCGATATTCTTCATAACGGAGAAGTCTATATATATATATATATATATATATATATATATATATATTTTTAGGGGAAAGTTGTATGACAAAGTGGGAAATGTTTTTCGTGAAGCGTTTCATTCTTCAATGGACTAAGACAGTTTATGTTGGTCTGGATGCACATGCCCAGAAATGTGAGAGGTGTAAATTTTAAATTGAATATATATATATATATATATATATATATATATATATATATATATATATATATATATATATAGAGGAAAGAGTTTATAGTAGTTCCAAGGAGAGAAAAAGTGTGTATATTAAAAGAAGTCATATATAAGTATCAGGCAATAACTGAACAACCAGGTCTCCTTACACAAAAGCAACATAAAATTATCAGACAACAGAAAACATTTTGTATCACAACACATCTTCAAATGTAACTAGGGTAAATGTAAAATTATGCTTATATATCAAACAAACAATTATTCTTACCTACAAATACAAGAAAAAAATCTTCATAAACAAATTTAAACCAGAACTTAATAGATCATAAGCCCACACGCAAAAGCAAACATGCACACATAATGGCTAAATATAGTGATCAAACCACTCACATGCATGCACACGCTCATTCTAGTATCTGTGGAGCACATATATATATATATATATATATATATATATATATATATATATATATATATATAAAACCAATACGGATATACAGAATGATTCCAATAACCAACAATTACTATTCTTAAAAAGTGCTCAATACAAAGTAAACAGATATAATTATTTTTTATAAAAAATTATAACATAAGTATGTTATAGATCACTAAAAAATAAGCATTTGTTTCAACATTCTGTGTCTTCTCAAGTGATGTTGAAAATAAAATAAATGGTTTAAAAGTTTCAGATTAATTATGATTACCACACTAGGGAGCATTATTTTTAAAGCTAGAATAACCCATCAAAAACAAGTATAGAAAGATTCAAAGATTCAAAAAATAGCTATTCAGATCTTTAAATCCTGCTATAATAGCCTAATTTATAAAATCAGATCTTTAAAATTAAAATTGGTAATTTTAAAATCCAAATTTAATCACTATTAAGTTAAAATAATTTATATAATTCAATAATTCTTATTGAAATTATGTTCGACAAGGACGCTTTACAATATATCCGTTTTTATTTTATATGTTTTCCTTTCCCTTTCATTCCGTTTTTAACTCATTTGTGGATCAAGAAACTCAAAAACACAGTCAGATTATTATACATAAGCACCCAGACATAATTAGATACACACACACACACATACACACACAAACACACACACACACACATACATACACGCATCTAAAAAGAAAACATAAAAAGAAAGTTGGTTTCTCTACAGGAAAAGAATGTGAAACTAACACTAACACACACACAGTGAATACCCTCACATACACATAGACACCGATAGATACACATAATTCCACAGACAATGACAGACAAT